ACCTTGAATTTCCAAGACCTCATACCTATATTAGACAGAGAAAGGCCAGAAGTTCTGTTTTAATAAATTTTTGTTTACTTGTTCACTAGACGACTGCTTTGATTTATCTAGGGTTAAATATCTGTAAATTTAAGTGATTTGCCTCAATCTAATGCTACTGAAGAGATTCCCTTTATCTTCAGCTAAAAGACTATTAGACTCATCTGAGTTAATGTATATAAAGTATTTTGATAAACTAAACTATAAATTTTACTGTAAATATAAAAAAAAATTATTTTAATACCTCTTTAGATTTAAATATATTCTTCTTTCTAATATCTTTTAATATTCTTATAAAGCAAATCTAAAAAGAGCATTTCCCTTTTTGCTTTCCTTCCTGTTCTGTGGGATTGCATGAGACCATTGATAATGCAAGCTTCTAGTCTTCTCTAATTGAATTTCTTTTATTTTACCAGCATACATTTGATTGGTCTTTTTAAAAAATACGTGATACACATCGTATCATATGCTTCATAATTCTTAAAGTCCATTAAATTGATAGTCCACTCTATCACTAATTTGTAACTCGGAACTTTTTCAACACCTCAATTTTGTTGGATCAGATAGATAAAAGCTATAAAATATAGCTCAGAAATAACATATGCTTAACTATGACAAAAGGTCAAGAGCTGCTCCAATTGGAACTATGATTTCATTATTATTCCATTTTTAGGCATTTCTGAAAATGCTAATGAAAGCATCATTGTGTATTGCAGACAATGGAAACAATAAGAAAGTGATTAATGGATTTCTGAGAGAAGCTAAGGAAATCATAGTGCAAAGTCATAAACATAATACAATGAACTAATGTTTTATTACAGGGAATGTGAGCTTCATCATTTAAACCCAGTTAACACCAGAAGGTGAATGCATCAAACTTGTAGGTCCCTATGAGAAACTGTGTTGCTGATGTAATGTAAATCTGGTAGAGTAAGTTTTTTCCTGATAATACTGGCTTAGTTGCAGTTCCCAGACCACTATTTTATCATTCTGTCACTATTCTAATTCTAGTTTATTAGGTTTTGTTTACTGAACCATTCTCACTAACAAGCAACACAGCAACAATACAATGAAATGCTCTGATTAAATACTGCCGTTTTGTTCTTCTTCAGACTATTCCTTCATATCTAATAATAATGGCTAGGATACCTTTCATAGGAAAATATGTTTTAATATAGCAGTTATACACTATTTGAGCATGCATCTTAGATTTATTTTAAAATATTAGCCTTAAGTGATTTAAAAGATATCCATAAAGAGAAAAAATTTATAAATGTGACGGCATGTCCCAGATATATTTACAAACAGATGTCTGCATAAACATTTATAAATAAGCTTATTCTCCAATGAAAAAGGAAGAGGTGCTAAGAATAACTTACATGATTCTGTTTATGTAACAAATGTACAAGGACAATCATTTCACTGCTGCAGCAATTCTACCTGAAACTTCAGCTTACTACCTACAGCCTTTGCTACATGGTTTTCGTTTGAAAAGAATCATGTATTAACATTACCAGATCAATTGTAGTGTCTTTCAGGCTGAATTCATTTCATCAAGCACCCTAACTACAATGAAATACAATTCTAATTTATTTTTTCAAATTATTTATGCATTATGGATACTACTAAGGCTTACATGCTTAAAACGTTTCTAATTAAGATGCTTAAAGATTAGGTTTGGTATATCTGAAATATGTTTTCTCATCTATGTTTATACAGCCAGCAACAGATTAACAGTCAGCCCTCTGCTCAAAGGAATCTACAGCTTTGTTCATACTTACAATAAAAAGTAAAAGTACATTATTGCTTACCTTTACACTATATTGTAAGCATTGCACTATCTGATGAGAAATGGCAAATGTTATTGCCATATATCGTATTTACTTTCCCTAAACTCATACTAATTCTCATTTATACCAGCTGCAACTTTCAAGAAACTCCAAAGTAGCTTGAGTGTATGCACATTCCTAGCACAAAAGAAAATCTTCCCATGCACTGGGTTTATGGTAAGCTCTTTTGAGAAAGTTGTTCAAGCCCCACATGAATAGAAAAAATGACAATATTTGAACATATAAAATTATCTTATTTAAGAAGCTTCAGGCATGGTTGGCTTCTTAGTTTAACTTACTCTTCAAGTTCACCATTTCTTCTGTAATATCTAGTTGGAATCACATGCTGGGTGGATTTTCATATTTTACAGTCTTCACTTATTACTTACTAATCACAGAAAACTGTAAGATTGGAAGGGACCTTTGTAAGCCACCCAATCCAAACTTGCTTAAAGCAGGGCCCATTTAACACATCTTCCTCAGGGCCATATCCAGGCAAATTTTGAACATTTCCAAGAATGGCAATTCCACAACCCCTCTGGGCAGTCTGTCCCATTGGTTGACTAACTTTACAGTGACTTTCATTTCCTGATTTCTAATCACAGTTTCTTTTGTTACAACTTTTGCTCAGTATGTTGGTTCTTGGACTTCTTTGCTGCAAGGGCACGTTGTTGGCTCATGTACAACATGTTGTCCACAAAAACCTCCAGGGCTTTTCCCAGAAACTGCTTTCCAGCTAATAGGTTCCCAGCCCATACTGTTGCAGGGAGATTTTCCACCCCAGGTACAGGAGTTGGCATTTGTTTCTGTTGAATATCATGGGGTTCCTGTCAGCCCTTTTTACTTTCATTGAGGTGCCCATACACAGCAACTTTGCCCTTCACCATATCAACTGCTCAGTTTCATGTTGCCCATAAACTTGCATGGTCCAGGTCTTTCACAAAAACCATCTGTGTTACCTTTGGGGGAAGATGTCTGGTTCAAGGACTGCTCCATGGACTTTAGATCTCAGATCAGATTTTTATGAAAGCTTTTCATTATAAAATTTTTGTGCTCTTCAGTATATGGTCAGTTGTGGCATTTAATACATGTAGTATTCTAAGGCAGTCTTGCCCATAAATGAAAAAATAGTAGCTTAAGACTTTGTTTTTTCTTGACAAAAATGCCATTGAGCTACACAGTTATTAACAGCCTATGCAACTAATATACATCATGAAGTGCAGCTCTGCAGCCGCAATTATAGATAGCAAATGTTTTGCAATTCACTTTCTAAGTAAAAGGATCATTTGAATGGATGATCTACATTTCATCATGTCATTGTTAAAATGCTACCTTAACATTTGTCTGTAATAACAACAACAATAAAAACAAACTGGAAAAATAATGTTCATTTTTTGTAAAACAAAATCGGACCTGTTATTAATTACTAGTGTAAAACTTAATTTTATAAGAATTTACTTGATTGCTCCCTTAAATCAGTCCAATTTTATGCCTCCAATTAATTGCATATAAGATTGCACCTGCAAAAAAAAAAAAAAATTGAAAAAACCCATATTTTGGTCAAGGATCCCTTAGATGTTTAATCAAGTAACGCAATGGTAAAAGTGGGATTTAAGATCTGGCAATTATGTTAAAAAAATAAGATTTAAAAATAAGTCAAGAATTTGTACTTTGAAGATAATTATTTTCTTATTTTCTTTTAGGTAAAGGAGATTTAATTGGTGCAAACCTATCTATTAGGGATCAAGTTATTAAAACAAATGCAGATGTGAAAGCCCTAACATACTGTGATCTCCAATGCATTATCCTCAAAGGTCTCTTCGAAGTGCTTGACCTTTACCCAGAGTATGCTCACAAGTTTGTGGAAGACATACAGCATGATCTCACATACAATCTAAGAGAAGGCCATGAAAGTGATGTAAGTATCTTCAAAGGTCTCTGCAGTTAATGTTACCTTTAAGATGTTTCTCATACTTTATCCAGTTCTAATAATTTTGCCACAGTACAGAAATAATACACAGGTTACAATAAAAAGACCACTCATACTGTTTGTTTGATAATTCAGCCATTACCTACATGAATCGTTTATCAGTTGATCACATCATAAACAGTGAACATATTCTCTGCTTCTCATTTTCCATAGAAAACATCTTCTATGAAAGAACACTAGTCTTTAATATTTTGTCATTTTTTTAATCTTTAAAAATAATTCATAGCTATGTGAAGCATGTGTCCAAGGTGTACCTTTTCTAGAAGCTTGTGTGCCAGCCTAGTGAACATTCATTTCATAGATCACCGATTATCACTTCCTAGTTAAGAACATTGTCAGACATTCAAAGTGAGAAACAGTTGTTTTTCATCACACTGCAACTAAAGTGTTTTTCCATTGGCACAAATGTTTCTACAGCAGTGCTCTACAAACAATTGTCATAGAAAGGTGTAAATAAATAAATGCAAACTTGCAGAGGGTCAAATAATCAGGACATCTCTTTTGTTTGTCACTTAAACTATCCTCAAAGTTTCTGTTACTGAAGACAGCATCTGAGACAGCATCTGTTCTGAGAGCCTGAAGATTAGTTTGCATAACCAACACATTTTCCTTACGGAGGAATGCTTAATCTGAAAAGCAGTATAACTCCATGTAAAGATAGGGTTTGAAGCTGATTACATGCTACTCTCCAGTTTTGTCATGGACCTTGATGAACCTCCACAATGTATTGTTTCATGCTTTTCTGTATGATGACGTTTCTGGGGATCACCATCTCAGCTGCATGCAGATTTCCACAGTTAAAGAGCAGCTCGATACATTTGAATAAATCAGCATCTCACTCTCTTTTTTCTAGGGTGTTTTAAATGGCTGCAAATTTGCAAATGAATGTGCATTTAACACTTCTGAAAATAGATCAGTAACAGTATTTAGAGTTAGGTGAACTTCAGTATGAAATAGTAAGAATTTCCCCACTATGATTTGCCAGTTGCCTTTCAGTCCTGACCTAAAATATTATTGCATTTTCAGTCACAGTCCACCAAAACTGCTTTAGGTTGTGGTTTTCCTAACACTTTATGCCAGCGTTAAAAAGATGAGGCTGCAGAAAGATGCAGTCCTGGTGATGCATTAGTCCCTTCCTTGTGCTGTTTGAACTGTTCATTGCACACAAAATTGAATAAGAGATCTGAACTGAATTAAAAGTAAATGGACCAAAAAGGGCCAGAAGTCAGTAGGAGTTTCCTGATCGTGGAGTGTCAAAGTTGGATACTTATCACTAGAATCTGTAACTACTCTACCCACAGAGAAAGGAGAACTCTTTAAATGTGTTTTATTGGTTCATCTCCAAGTCTAAGAGTGTGACCAGGTTTCCCAGTAACAAGTAGAAAGTGTAGCTGCCTGGTTATAGAAAATTTGAAAGTGTTTAAGCAATCTTGGAAGAAAAGCTCAAGGGATCTTCAGTACAGCTTAAGCTGGTAGTCATATAATTATTTAAGTCTCTAATGAGTAACAGATAGAGAAACAGAAAGTGAAAAACAGGGAGCTAAAATTTCAACAATTCATTATAATAGCTTTAAAATCATCAGTTGTTAAGTGATTTCTGTATGATTATAAGCATTAATGTGTATGCAATCACACTGGCAGTGCTATTATATATTCCCCTCACAGTGAGATGTGAATTAGAACAAAAGGCTTTATGTTGATTATATATATTCTGCCCTTCGCTTTACTTGCTGCATTTTGCTCAAGAAAGTCATAATTGTTTTTGTAAATGTACTAAATTATTTAAGGACAATTAGAAAAAGTTAATTTGTTTGGTTGTTGTAACATTAAAGCAATTGACCCATTCAAGTGTTCTAGCCAATTTTTCTAGGTCTCTGGCCATGACATTATAGTAATGACATAGTGTGCTACATGACACAGATTTTGACACCTGCCCCATCCCACCTATATCATTTTTCACTATATAATAAAAGGCTGCATATTTAGCAGGCAGTGAGAGAGTCAGATACCTGACTCGATGATGTGAAGAACTCTTAAGGTTCTTTCAGCATGTAGTACAATTATATGAAAGAAGCTGGAAATTATTTTGCTATCCACCAGCCATGGAGAACGTGCTATTTTATATATTTAGAAGGCAGTAGCAGATGTTCATAGATCTGAATTACCCTATGAGAAACTCAGAATGGGTAACTATTTACACAATCTGATTTGCACAAACAGTTTATTGTTTCTGATTATTCCTTGTGTCCGTGCAAAAGTGTCTGCAGCATAGACATCATTATTCATTAAAAAAAAAAAAAAAAAAAAAAAAACCCAAAACAAAACAAAAAAAACCCCCACACCTGGCTTGTTACAGCCAGACTGATACAAGAGGTTTCCTTGACACCTATGCCATCCTTCAAGCCGTAATGAAGTCCCAAAGGAAGATAAGACCCATGCAGGCACTATCAACATTTGTCATTTTCAAAAAAATAAAAAAGATTATATTGCTGAAGATTCAAAAATCTGAGTTTGTAGACAGCACTCATAATTAATAAGAACCTACTTTTCCTCTTGTAGCCTTAAAAGTAATTTCTGCTTCTTACAAGAGCTTCTCTTCCCTCAAAGGAGGAGAAGCTACTGCCTCTGAACCTCAGCCTCTGAAGCATAGGGAAGGGCTGCTTCCTTCAGTGCATCTGCAGTGTAAACAAAGCATAATGGCAAAGATTGCACAAGAAAAGTGGTAAATTCTTCTTCCAGTTGGGAACATTGAGTCTTACTGCAGCTTAACTACGCTTCTTGATAATAAAATAAATAAATAGATAAATGAATCTTAGGCAATCCAAGAAGCAATAAAAACAAAGATTTTTTTTTTTCCCCCCTCTGAGAAAGGTATTGTCTGACAAAATGGGGCTTAATTCTTGTCCTTTGGAGAGGCTAGTGTTTACAATTTATTAAATTTTAATGACTGAGTTGTGGATTTTTTTCTTATATAATAAAGCTCAGGTTGTTATTTGCAATACCGAACAAATTACAAGGGATGCTTCCTCTTTTCCTACTGGGAAATCTGATAACTGGTCAAACCAGTTGTTTGTAAAGGTGAAAACAGCTCCAGGCTCTGGAACACATAACAGAGGGCACAGCTTGGGAAAAAAAAAAATCTACAAATTCTGATCTAAAATATAGAGATTTTTTCTGCTTCATTCCTGTATTAAGCAAGTATTTTAAGAGCATATAGGTAAAATATTATCATTCTACCTTATTTCTTTTTAATTGGTTTACATCTAGACTTCTATCTTTCTTTGTACCAACCGGTGGTATTGCTCCTGTGGGCAGAAAGGACAGCAAAATCCTTTTGAACGCAAGCACAAAATTCAGCTGAAAGTCTGCCTAGACTCTGGAATTTTCAGCTAGCAGCTTATGTATTTGACATTCTTCTCACCTCTTTCTTCTTCTTCTTCTAGATATTGTACTACAGGTCTGTTGAATTTAGGAGTACTGCTTTCTAATATAGTAATATATTTGTAAAAAAATTTATTATCTATTATGAATACAGAAATGGAAAATAGTATGACTTTTTCTTTAAAGAAGCAAATCAAAGTTATCCTAATTGAATTCTATAGATATTAAGGAAAAAATAAGCATGTTTTACTTAAAATAGTTGCTTTTAATTTGGCAAGAGTTATGTTGTTTGTTGTTGTAGATGATGTAGTTGATGTAGATGGTGTTGTTGATGAAAGATGTTGTTGATGGTTGGATGTGATGATCTTGGAGGTCTTCTCCAACCTTAATGATTCTATGATTCTAAGATAAGAAAACCTGATAGAAAATTCAGACATATAGTTGCTTATCCATGTATTTAACTTGAGAGCCAAAAACCTCCGATTTCTTGGGTATTCATAATACGTATTCATAAAAAGCAATCCATTGAAAAAATTTCCAAACCGTCTCTTCCTACACTATTACACTTAAGTCATACTTCCTCCACCCCAGCCTAAGTCATAGTTCATACTGTACACAGCAAGATAATCACAGGATGCAAAATATTTTTTTTGTAATAAATAATTTCAGTAGAAGATTTCCCAAATACTTCTAACCACCTTTTGAATAGAGGAGAGGGTTTTGCCACATTTCCTAGCAACTGTGTAGAAAGAAGTGGTTTATCTTAGAAGGGTTAAAAAGCCCTACTTTGACATTTAGAGTGGGGTTGCGTAATTTTTAGGAAAACTTATCATTTTAAAACAAACTTAAATGCGGTTAAGCACCCACCTTTGCAAACAGCTTTTCTGGCAGAGGATCATGTGCTATTACTGCTGCTGTAACTCACTGATGTTTATAGTCTGTGACAGAGCAGGTATAAATTCTGCAAAACAAGAGACCAGTCAATTGGCAATTTTTGTGTTTCTGTACAAGATTTATTACAACAGGTGGTATATAGAACTTAATGAAGCACCAAAAGTAACAGAAGTCTAATTCTTTATCTGCATAATTATTCTCAAAAAAAACAACCAAAGACCAATACAAGCCAAAAAAACATCCAAACCAAAACCCCACAAACATATTCCTGTTTAGTATCTTTTTTCCCTTTAGTTCATGGGCCCTTGGCAGCAAGTTGTGTGCTGACTGGGGTAGGTTTCTTACTCGCCTCTGTAGACGGACCACTCTGCAACCAGTGCTGCTGTAAAATATTGCTCAGGGCTCTCTCATATTTTACAAGCTACTCAGAACTTTCATTCACGCTCCTGGGACCTTCTGGAATTTTCTTTTTCTTTATTCCCTCTCTATCTCACCTTCTCCATATTCCCAAAATAAATTATCCTACTGCTGAACTGCTGAACAAGGCAACACTCTATGATGTCACTTACACAGCTCAATTTCTGTATTTCTATGGAACAAGTAGCAAGATTGTGTAGCTGTAGACGGGCATGACCGCAGCCAAAAAAAACCAG